ATTTATTTATTTTTCAGTTTATCAGAGGTTCCCTGGAAAGACCCATGAGTCTTTTCTTTACCATGAGATTTTTGACATTCTTAATTTTCTCATTAAGACTTATTTATTTACTACTTGCTTATTTAAAGTTATTTAAATTCCAGTTAGTTCACATACCAGGTAATATCAGTTTCAGGTGTACAATATAGTGATTCAATACGTCCATACAACTTGCAGTGTTCATCACAAGTGCCCTCCTTCATCCCCATCACCTATTTAGTCCATCCCCCCCACCCACCTCCATTCTGGTAACCATCAGCTTTATTTTTCATTTCTTACTGTTTTCTTGAACAGATTCTATTATTTTTGAAACTGTGTTAAAATTACACAAAATAACTACCTTGTGGAGAGTTTCAAACAATACTCTGAGAATCCCAGAACTGATTCCAATGAGATATTGGGAAAAAAGCCTGATTAAAGGAGTTTAAAATTTATCAGAAAAAAAAATAACATTAAAGAATGGTGCAGAAACTGGAATAATCCACCTAAAAAGGGGAACTTCTTGATAAGATATAAACACAAAGAGTATTATAATACAAAAGGTATTAAAGAGATACTTTAATCTCCTTAAAGATACTTAACGATACTCCTTAAAGAAGTATACTGTACACCTGTATACTTCTAAGAAGGTGGTACCACCATTAAAATACATATGTGATATAGAGCCAAAAAAATCGAGAGACAATCATAATAATTTTTTTTGTATTACAAATATAGCATTTCAAGGCTATTGGTCTACATATCGAATGATATTAGAACAATTAGCTCATTGGAAAACCAAATTTAAATTTATACCTCACAGCTTAGATGCAAATACTTTCTTGACGTATTGAAATTAAAGTGGGAAAATGCAACTAGGAAAAGTACAGGCAGATAATTACATGATCTTAGGTCGCTAACGGCCTCTGGTGTGACACCAAAGTCAGAAATCTAAAGAGAAATTTTTGTAGGTTTGGTTAGAGTAGATGACATTAACAAACAAACATAAAGATGGAAAAAAAGGCAATATATGGTAGATAAAGGTACTGTATAACAGTGTTATGTAAAGAACTTCCAATTTCATAAAACGTTGGAGAAGGAAACAAAGCCAACTCATAAAGAACAATTAAAGGTCAATGAACAAAAAATGTCCTTTCTATTTTGTAATTAAAACAATACAAATGAAAAATAGCACTGGGAGATTATTTGTCACATACCAATATTCCAGTGATGAAGTATAAAATAATGTAAACTTTGTGGCAGATAGTAAGTCATTGTACATTACAATGTAAAACATGAACATAATTTAAACACAATTCTAATTATAGCAATTTTCTAAGAAGACAGTCACATTACTCAGCAAAAATATATACTTTGGTGGTGTTTATAAAATTGGCCAAATTGTATTTTTCTTTTCTTTTTTTTTAGGTTTTTATGCATTAATCTGAATTCCTTTATTAATTCAACTAATCTTTACTGAGTGTCTACTGTTTATCAAGAATTGTGATAAATGCTAGGGATACAATGCACAAGACAGACACAGCCTCTGCATTTGGAAGGTTTTTTTTTATCACTTTAAAAATTACAATAGGGAGGCGCCTGGATGGCTCAGTCAGTTAAGTGTTTTGACTCTTGATGTTAGCTCAGGTTATGATCTCACTGTTGTGGGATTGAGACCCATGTTCTGCTTTGAGAGGACAGAGCCTGTTTGGGATTCTCTCTCTCCCTGTCTCTCTTCCTTTCCCCTACTTTCTCTCTCTCTCTCTCTCCCTCCCTCCCTCTCTCTCTCTCTCTCTCTAAGTAAATAAATAACTGTTTTAAAAAATTAGAATAGGAGAACCACGGATATCTCAGTCAGTACAGCATGCGACTCTTAATCTTGGTGTTGTGAGCTCAAGCCCCACATTGGGAGTACACATTACTTAAATAAATAAAACTTAAAAAAATTAGAAAAAAAGCAATATAATTACTTAAACTTACTTTGGAAATAGCTTTAAAGGGTTAATTACATCTTTATGTTGTTTGTAGAATATTGACATTATTAAAGTTACAAAGCATGAAAAGTCTCTGCAAACCATTATCAGTAGGCTTTATAGGATTTTGTGTTATGATTATGTATATGGATGCCTATTTCTCTCCTTTAAGGCATTAATCACTGTCACTACTTTACCCAGAGTTTTCACATAGGAATTTCTTAGTAGATATGTGTTTTGGGGATGAGACAAAACTGAAAAAAAAAATTTGATTTAAGAACAAAGGAATCGTGACAAATAATAATTCAGATTTTACTCTAAGTGTTATCTTAGCTCCAAACACATACCTATCAACTAGATATTCTATACCCTGGATTCCTTCTCTGTAAAAAACCATTAGTAAACATTAATCTTGTGGGCAAGTTTATAATTTATGGTCTCGGATAGCCCACCTTTTTCATTTTGCACGTTCTGTCGGTCATCTTACACAGGGATCACATCATACTCAATGGACTTCTTGCTTCTGAGAACAGGTAGAAAGATTTTAGTCTTTGCTGACGTTCACTTAGAGAATCGTTTTTGCTAAGTCACTTCTGTTGAAGATTTTCCTTCCATTCTGTTTTATGTTCAGAATGCTCCATGACAGTTTTACAACGTAAAGAAAATATGTGGTGTTCCAAGGTATGGGCATTTGGCCTATGGTCTTTACCTTTTCATTTATAGTCAATGGGCCCTGCACTTAGAGACAATGGAGGAATACTTTAAAACACCCTTTAAGGGCGCCTGGGTGGCTCAGGGCTGAGCATCTGACTTCGGCTCAGGTCATGATCTCACGCTTCGTGAGTTCAAGCCCTGCATCAGGCTTGCTGTTGTCAGTGCAGGGCCCCCTTCGGATCCTCTGTCCCCTTCTCTCTCTGCCCCTCCCCCGCTCATTCTCTAACTCTCTCTCTCTCTCTCTCTGTCTCTCTCTCTGTCTCTCTCAAATAAGATAAATGAACATAAAACCCCACAAAAACTCTCTTTAGAAGTTGGGATGTAAGCTGAGAAAGATTTCTTGGTAGGGAGAACCACCATCCCACTTCCTTTGGAAGATGATTATAATATGCCCCTGAGGCAGCAGCAAGGGGGTTCCTGATTAAACATTTCATGCTAATGTATGTGTGTGTGTGCGCGCGCGTGTGTGTGTGTGTGTGTGTGTGTGAGTGTATCACTGTGTAGGTGTATACAAACTTGAGCAATCATTGATTTGGAGAAGTGCTGGCTGACTGACTATATAGCTACACCAGGTCTGCATATGTATCTGCATTCCAAACATGTGCTTCCTATTCTGAGACCTTAGTGAAACATGATCCTCTGGGAATCGGTAAGCAAAAATGTCAGAAAGCTTCACAGCATATATGATTGATCGATTGAACCACAGTAAATCCTCTTAGTTCCTCTCTGTTATTTCTGGTTAAATTTGACTATCACAGGAAGAATCCTGCTGCTTTACTGGAGAGGAATTCTTTCTCGCCAAGTGAAAGGACTATTATCAGGAACTGTTAGTTGTTTTGAGAGTCATCCTTAATAAATCTACCTATTCTTTTAATGACAGAAAAATTTGGACTCCCTTTGAGGGAGAATTTTCCAATATTTGTTAAAATTTTAAATAAGTGTATGTTATGACTGGTCCATTTTGTTTTTAGGATTCTGACCTGTAAAAATATGAACATGTGGGAATAGTTAGACATATGATTAAGGATTTTCATTTTGGTATTTTTGTGATAGCAAAATACAAAGACAAATCAATATAAATGCCTATCGATAGGAGGATAAATAAATAAATTTTATTATATTGGAATACCATGTACTCTTACAATGGGAATTAAAGAGGTATTTTTAACTGACCTGAAAAGCTATCCATACTCATAGGTTGTGAAGTGAAGAGGGAGATTTTAAAAATATGTATCCACTGAAAACCTTGTAAATAAGGTTTACTTGTAAATAAGAACCTAATAAATGAGTTCAGCAAGATTGCAGGATATAAGATCAGTATATAAAAATCAATTGCATTTCTGTACGTTATTGATGAAAAATCTGGGAATTAAATTAAGAAAGCAATTCCACTAACAATAGAATCCAAGAGAATAAAGCTACTTGGGAGTAAGTTTAGCAAAAACAAAACAAAAAAAAAACAAAAAAAACAAACAAAAAAAAAACACAAAACAAGGCTACACTTGAACTACACTAAAAACTACACAATATAGCTTAAAAAAGTTAAAGAATATCTAAGTAAGTGGAAAAGCATCATGTTCATAGATTGGAAGACTTAATATTGATAAAATATCAGTATTTCTCAAACTGATCTACAGATTCAATAAAATTCCTATCAAAATCCCCATTGATGCCTTTTTTTTCTTTGCAGAAATTGGCAAACTGAACCTAAAATTCATACAGAAATATAAGGAACCCAGGCTAGCCAAAAAATGTTCACAAAGGAATAAAGCTGGAGAACTCACACTTTCTGATTTCAAAACTTACTACAGAGCTGCAACAATCAAGACAGCGTAGTATTGTAAAATAAACGTCTAGATCAACAGAGTATAATTGAGAGCTGAGGAACAAACCCTTACCTTCATAGTCAATTGATTTTCAACAAGGTGCCAACACAATTCAATGGGGGAAAAGACTCTTTTCCGCAAATGGTGCTGGACAACTAGATACCCACATTCAAAAGAATGAGTTTGGGCCCTATTCTCACTCCATTTGTGAAATTTGAGCTCAAGATGGATGAATGAATAAAGTGCAAGAGCTAAAACGTGAAATCTTAGAAGATAATACAAGAACAAATCGTTATGATTTTGGGTTGGTCAATGATGTCTTAGATAAAACCAAAAAAGCACAAGCCATAAAAGAAAAACAAAAGTTGGACCTCAGAATTAAAAACTTTTGCTTCAAATAGTACCCTCTATGAAGTGAAAAGACAACTTACAGATGGGGAGAAAATATTTGCAAATCATATATTGAATAAGAGACTTGTATCCAGTATATATGAAGAATTCTTGCAACAAGAAAACAACCCAATTAAAATTGTCAAAGGACTTGAATAGAAATTTCTCCAAAGATGATAGAAGAATGATTAACATGCACAGGGATGTATGTGTAACAACATGAGTCATTAGGGAAAAGGTACATCAAAACCACAATGAAATACTACTTCATGAGTACTATAAAGTCTACAGTCAAAAAGGCAATAGCAAGTACAGATGAGAATAGGGAATTAGAACTCTCGTATATTTCTGGTGGGAATGTCAAAGGCGGCAGCCCCTTTGGCAAATACTTGGGCAGTTTATCAAAATGTTAAACATAGAATTACCACAGGGTCCAGCAATTCTGCCTCTAGGTATCTACCCAGGAAAAATGAAAACATGTTTACCAAAGACTTGTACATGAATGCGCAGAGTAATATTATTCATACGAGACAAAAAATGGAACAACCGAAATATGCATCCATTGATGAATGGATAAACAAAATATGTTAAATCCATACAATGGAATACTATTGGTCAACAAGAAGGGTCCACATACTGATACATGTAGCAATGTGGATACATTTCCAAAACATTCTTCTGAATGAAAGAAGTCAGACACAGAAGACCGCATACTGTGTCAAGGTATGTAAATTTCCTCTTAATAAAGTGGTTAAAAAAACATGTATAATAAGATTCTAGTTCTGTTTAACAGCACATATATATCTAGGTGCTTAAATACCTCTATCTGTTTTACTTAAATATATGTATATGTATTTAAATAAGCATGGAAAAATATGGGGTCACAAACATTCAGTAAACTGTTAATGGTTTTTCCCAGGGGAGGGAGGAAGAAAGGTTGAGAGACAAGTATTCATATCCTACTTTATTCAGTTCTGATTCATTTACATAGGTTGTAATACACAAATTGATTTAATGTGTTTTTCTTAAAAAATAGAAATGAATCCATTACAAATGAAGAAAGAAAAAGAGAGAAAAACAGAAAGAACAAAATAATGAATTGCTGTAATGTATCAAGGTTGCAGCTCTTGTTAGTAATAGATCTGTTCATTCATTTGTCAATTAAATGACAAATAAAAGAGGTCCTGGAGATAAACCTTATAGGACAGGATTTTAAAGACCTGCATCTAGTTCGTGTATAACTGTAAAAACAAAGACATATTTATAATCTGAACACTGTTCCTTTTTAAAAATATTCAGTATTTCTGATCATTAATGTTATTTGGTGGCAAGAGGGAAAGTGGTATCTTTTTTACATATTGCAATTTAAAATATTTTTCCTTATGATGTTAAATAAAATAAACCTTAGATCCATTTTTGTTTTTGCATATGATTAGCAACTACAATGGTCTTTTGCATGTTTCTGTGGTTATACCAAACAAAACTGTGGCATGCTGAATTTACGTCTAGATCCCTTTATTATCACTATTTTCTTTTCCTTTAACATTCCAGCTGCCTCACCATTCTTTAGGATGAATTATCAGTTATGTATCTAATCGTTATTTATGTAAATATTTATCAGTATAACAAACCAATAATTGGTTTTTGATAGCAACAGCAAGAGTTCTGAGGTAAGAGAAACAAATGAACTTTATTTGCTTAATTTGCAGTAAGAGTACTTGGGTATTATTCATAACTCTTTTGTCATTGGCAAAATAATTAACAGTTTGTAGTTCTGAGTTCACTTTAGTCAGAGTAATTGCAAATACAGTTAGCCCTTGAACAACAGGGGTGTTTGGGGCTAGGGGCATTGACTCTGGCTCAATCAAAATTCCTCATATAACTTTTGACTCCCCCAAGACTTAACTGTCAATACCCTATTGTTAATAGGAAGCCTTACTGATAACGTAAACAGTCCACTAACACAAATTTTGTATGTTATAATAATAACATACAATATAATAAAGTATGTTCGAGAAAAGAAAATGTTATTAAGAAAATCATAAGGAAGAGAAAGTACATTTGCAGTACTGTATTGTATTGAAAAAAAATTGTGTGTAAGTGAACCTGAGTAGTTCAAACTCATGTTGTTCAAAAGTCAACGGTAATGCATATACCATCCTCTCTGCTTAGTGGTTTTCTATGTAACGATAAACTGTTACATTTGAAGAGGTAATAGTATTTTACAAAATTAAAAATATTTGATATAAATTAAAATAGTCCTCTGGAATTGAAACGTGACATATATAGCATAAGAACCAAAATATTTTTAATATGCTTTTTTTATATTTTAAGATTTATTTTAATTGTTATAGCCATATTTCCTGCATGCACTCATTCCTTATATATTTATTGAGTTATTCTAATTTTCTGGCATTCTACTAGGTGATGTAGGAGGGAACGTGAGTAGGATATTGACCCTGCCTTCAAATACTCATGATCTTTCTAAAAAGACAATCTTATAAACCAGGCATTGAAGTCACTGATAAAAAAGTATAAAATTGTAAACTACCTCAACTTGGATTTTAAAATACTGTGTAAAAAGAAAATATATCTCATTAAAGATGACACAAATTTAAAATATATTTTTAAAATCCAATACTGTGGCATCACAAAGAAAAGCAATGTTAATACTTTCTATTTTCCCTTTTACTCCCCCAGAATTTAAAACAACCATTTTAAAGTGAACAGATACTTAAGTTGACTTTGAAGAATATTAGATCCCACTTTACATTTTTAAGGGTAGCTTGTTAGAGTAGCTGATGTCACCCAACTCTATTTGATTGTCTGATCTCCAGACCCCCTCCCATTTTCACTCAAAATAGAAGTAATTGATTTTTTTTGTTGCTGGGGTCCTCAGCTCACATCTCTTTGGAAGCTCTTTATCATTTTGAGTTATAATTATTTATATATACATTTTAGCTCCTTGTGCAGACTATAAGGTTATTGATAACAGGGGCTCTGCCTATTTATTCTTGCATTTGCCATAGAATCCTGTGCAGTTCTTGTACAAACAGGTGCTCAGCATTTATGGCACGCATAAATGATCTGCTACCAATCCAGGAAACTCAAACTTCTGAAATTTACATCCCCTCTCAATGAAAAACTTTGACTTCGAGAATGTTTCTCTGAAATCCCTGGGAAAAGTTCGTCAGAATCTAAATCTACCATGTCACTTCCTTTCTACAGTCCAGTGCAACTATTCTTCTGGCGCCATAAAAGTGTCTGGGACAGGGGCGCCTGGGTGGCGCAGTCGGTTAAGCGTCCGACTTCAGCCAGGTCACGATCTCGCGGTCCGTGAGTTCGAGCCCCGCGTCGGGCTCTGGGCTGATGGCTCAGAGCCTGGAACCTGTTTCCGATTCTGTGTCTCCCTCTCTCTCTGCCCCTCGCCCGTTCATGCTCTGTCTCTCTCTGTCCTAAAAAAATAAATAAACGTTGAAAAAAAAAAAAAAGTGTCTGGGACATTTGCCAGGATGTGTTGCCTTCAAATGTAAAGCTTCAGCACTTTAGAAATTGTTTTCCCTTTCAAATACTTTTCCAGTAATTAGAATTTCCTGCCATCAGGTAGCACTAACAAATGCAATACCTTAAAAAAAGAAAAAGCAGTTTTCCTTGAGATCCAGACTCTAGTTTTCAAAATAACCTAAAATTATCAACTAAGCGTAAATAACAGTAAACACATGTATTAACTAAAGGTATTTGAAAAGACCATGAACAACTTTGGGATTTGCTCACCGCATTTTTTTAAAGTTTTATTATGTATTTTGAGAGAGAGAGAGAAAACACGAGTGGGGGAATGGCAGAGAGAGAGCAAGGATCCTAAGCAGGCTCTTCACCACTAGCGTGAAGCCTGATGCGGGGCTCGAACTCGCCAACTGTAAGATCGTGACCTGAGCTAGAGTCCAATGCATAACTGGCTGAGCCACCCAGATGCCCCTTGCTCACTTCATTTTGAGTATAAGATGCCTTTGATTTTAGCTGGCACCAGTCTTTTCTGTACCTCTAAGAAGGAAAAGATATTGTCGATTAAACAATAATATAATGCTTTCTTATCATTTAGAATTGTTTTCAGCTTTATTGAGGTATAATTGACAAATAAAATTGAAAGATATGCAAACAGTACATTGTGACGATTTGATATATGTATACTGTGAAAGGTGTCCCCCCCCCAAAAAATTTATTCCATTTTTTTTTTTTTTTTTTTTGTTCAGCTCTAGTATATAACATGGTGACTATAATTGATAACATGATATTATGTAACTGAAATTTGCTGAAAGTAGAACTTAAGTTTCTCACCCCAAAATAATTTATTTTATAATTATTGAAAAGGGTCTTTTGTAATTATTAGATACAGGTGTTTATATTATATTACACTTCTCCATTTACGTGCTTTTTTGGCAATATGGTAACTTTTTATTCAGTGCTGAGTCATACCACAATCTTTTTGAGGGTGTTTTGTGGCAGTTTAACACACCATGCATACTCAAAGTGCACAGAGTTATTAAAATTATGCCGAAACAAATAGGTACCTCAAAGTTTGTGCACGCTTAGGCATAAGTTACATTGCTAGTGCCACAAGAATGACAGCAACTTTAAGATGACTAATAAAAATACTGATTTCAGCGATCATTTACCATTTTATCATGAAAGAATTTGAACTTGAATCAATGAAATACAATATCCTTAACTTTTACTGTGTTAATTCAACTTGAATTTTAGATGATGAATAAAATCCCTTCTCTGAAATTTGGGCTCATTTTGTTCAGCAATGTCTATTTTTACTCTCTTTTTGAGAGCCCTTATTTCCAACCTAATCAAAAAAGTTCTTTAATTTGCTCTCTCAGCACTGCTGAGTATCTACGTTATAGCCTTGGACCTAAATGAATGCTGCTTCTTCTAATCTCATGAAGTACAGTGTGCTCTAAGGATTGACAACAGTTAGCATTCATTTAGTTGTTCAGGCCAGAAACCAGAAATATCTATAGGCTTGTGCCATCAAGGCCCATATGGTGTCTTTAATTATCTGCCTGTCTCTACTATGGACAAATGTTTGTATCCCTCCAAAATTCATAAAATGAAACCCTAACCCCCAATATGATAGTATTAGGAGCTGGGGTTTTTGGAAGGAGATTAGGTAATGAGAATGGAGCCTTTATGGTTGAGATTGGGGCTCTTATAAAAGAGACCCCAGTGAGCTCTCTCTTCCTCCTCACCAAGTGAGTATATGATGAGAAAATGGCAACTCAGAAGATGGTCCTTCTTAGAACCTGACAATGCTGGCATGACGGTTTCTATACCTGTGAGAAATACATTTCTATTGTTTATAAGCTATTCTGACTGTGGTGTACTATTTTACCTGCCTGAACAGAATAAGACACCCACTCTAGACTTTAAATTCTGATACAATAGAGACCATCATATTCTGTTTGTCTTGCAAACTCAGTTGCTGGTCCATAATATACATATTAAACTAAAAACCCAAATGAGAATTCACTTACCTTATTTCTTTGAACAAGTGAACCCACATATTACTAGTTAGGGACTAAGATTGAAGGGACACTTGGATTTTAATTTCCTTGATTTTAATAAGATTTTATTTTGTATGTATTTTGTGCTTCCTAGGGCAAACCATGAGGATACCTAGTAAATGCTTACACTGCTCATAGTTACATAGAATTTTAGAA